CGCACACACACACATACAAACCATTTTAGAAATCAATACGATAATTTAAAAGGAATCACTATATGCCACCATATTGGAGAAAACTATCACAAAATAACTTGTGTGCCTGTTCAGTCTCTACTGTCTAAATGCTAAATATGAATGGGCAATTTCAAGGCACCGTTTCCTCTTCTCATGGTTCCTTCTTTTTAAATTAGACTTAAATTTCCAAGCCCTTTAAATAGAGGACTATCCTCTGTAAAGTAGATCACATGGTTATTTTAATGTATCTGTTTTCTCATTATCTCATGATAATAGTAATTACCTTTACAGAAAAGGTTTTGCAATTAGCCACACTCACTATTTTAATGAAGGATCTCAGCATTTTTAAAAAGCAGTATTTAAAATTTAAAGATTTCAAGTTTAAATGAAGGATCATATTTGTCTGTGAATAACAGCTATCTGCCAAACATGTCCCTTGTCCTTTCATCATTTTTTCCAAAATGTCTGCAATGACTCTGTGAAAGGTTAAGATGTTTTTCAAGCGAAGGCAGTATTAATCTCTCTATCATTTGCCATTTAATGCTAATTAGACTTTCCTGCTGATACATATATTACCAGCTATACCATAATTACAGCAAATCAAACCTGATGCATAGAAAAGGGAAGAAAAGTATCTGTCACATACAGCACTGATGGTACCTGTCTGTCATGGGTTTGGAGGGAAAGTTCCATCCTATGGGGAGTGGAAGGCGGGACATCAGGGGGGAGGAGCTGTACTGTATAAATATTTGGAGCTTGTGTGGAGAGTGAGGAGTTGGATGCTAATTAGACTTTCCTGCTGATACATATATTACCAGCTATACCATAATTACAGCAAATCAAACTTGATGCATAGAAAAGGAAAGAAAAGTATCTCCCCCCAAATACATGTTGTCTTATGGATTCCTTCCTCTCCCCCACTAACAAGCAGTATTTTTCCAACATGGAGGTTTGCAATAGTTGGATATGATTCAGCAATACTGAGAGTCCTTTTTTCAAAACCCCTCCTATAAGGTACACAATTCTTTCATACATAGAATATAAAATTGAACAATGTCAGTTAGTACATACCTGATAGGTTCAGGTTTCTATTTAGGTAGCCAGAACTGATAGGTTCAGGGTCTGCGCGTTACCTTAAAGGGTTCTGTGGGAACCAAGCTGTTGTATGTGTGTGATTGGGGTTATGCCACGTTACATTATCCTATTTACCTGATTCTTTTATTTACCCTGTTTGTTATTTCAATAAACCTTGTTCTTTTATTTAGTAAAATCCATTCCTGGTCTGTGTGACTCCTTACAGGGAATGGTTGGTGGCAGCATAACTACATGGTGGCATACTCCAGTAGGTCTGGGGTTGCCACAGTATCTCCCCACAAAAACATGTTGTCTTATGGATTCCTTCCTCTCCCCGCTAACAAGCAGTATTTTCCCAACATGGAGGTTTGCAATAGTTGGATATGATTCAGCAATACTGAGAGTCCTTTTTTCAAAATCCCCTCCTATAAGGTACACAATTCTTTCATACATAGAATATAAAATTGAACAGTTTATAATATTTCCCTGTCAAAATATTTGGTTAATAAAATTAGCAACAGCACAGAAGTACAGCTGCCTTAGCAAAGAAAAAGAAAGCAAGCCTAGTAGAAAGTGATGTGGAGGGGAAAATTTAACAGAGGTGGGGTAAATATTACAGACAAGTAACCCTAACCAAACCCTTGTCGCTTCTTTCTGTTAGAGAAAATATTCTTTGGGAGGCTTCAATTTGGGCAGAGAAACAGAAAGCTCTAACATGTTCTTGTCACTTTACTGAGGTACCGGTATCTCTTATTCACTATGACATCCAAATGCACATGCTGAGAGGCTTCAATTTGGGCAGAGAAACAGAAAGCTCTAACATGTTCTTGTCACTTTACTGAGGTATCTCTTATTCACTATGACATCCAAACGCACATGCATTGGAATTCCACAGGAAGAGTGAGAGAGGTTTATGAGAAGAGGGATGAAATATCTTCCCCTTGAGTCATTTTCCCCAAAATTCATCATTCCACAGCAACATTTCCCTGATAAAAACATGGGCTTCACATGCTTTTTGTGTAATATTTAGTTCTGTCTTTGGTGAGTGCACTTCTGTTGATTCCAGAGAAGCTCATACTGGAGGCACTTTGTTCTCTGTCTCTTTTCCTCTTTCCAGGAAATGAAGTTGTGAGTGAATACCTTACATTCCCACCACATGTTTTATTTGTTTGGTGAACTGCACCACAAGAACTAACAAACTAAAAATCAGTTACAAGGCTATCCAGTTTACACATTAAATCAGCAAGAGTGAATCAGTTTGGCTCATATCTCCAGAAGAAAGTGAGAGCAAGGCTTCTTGTATCACTTAGATAAAGGTAAAGGTTCCCTTTGACATTTAGTCCAGTCGTGTCCGACTCTAGGGCGTGGTGCTCATCCCTGTTTCCAAGCCATAGAGCCAGCGTTTGTCCGAAGATAGTTTCTGTGGTCACGTGGCCAGCGTGACTAGACACAGAACGCCATTACCTTCCCACCGAGGTGGTACCAATTTATCTACTCGCATTTTTACATGCTTTCGAACTGCTAGGTTGGCAGGAGCTGGGACAAGCGACGGGAGCTCACTCCGTTGCGTGGATTCAATCTTACGACTGCTGGTCTTCTGACCTTGCAGCACAGAGGCTTCTGCGGTTTAACCCACAGTGCCACCACGTCCCTCTTGTATTACTTAATCCCTGACCCCTGTGTTGGAATTTGTGCCTAGCAGCCTACAGGTGTAACTCCAACTTGTGTGATCCCTAAATGTGCAGTTTATATCTGCAGTATACAGATCATCCATCAAGACTCTTACATTTGTTGGATATATGCATGCAAACCTCTTTGCATGAGTTCCAATTCACACATGGAAAATTCGGGTAAGAATCAGTAGGTGAGATCCTAACCCATAGGTCGGGGAACAGGGAAAAATTACCCCAAATGGGTAAAAGTGAAAATCCTGGGGGTAATGAGCAGGCTGCTCATTACCCTCAGGATTTGTGCTAGATTACTGTGGGAAAATTGTGCTAGATTACTGTCCTTATGTCCTCTTGACTACTGGCCATGCTAGCTGGGGATAATGGGAGCTGAAGTTTAATAAAAACTGTAGGGCCACAGGTTGTTCATCCTTGAGCTACTGCTGTCATTTCAGAGTAAGAACAATGCTTTTTGTCTAGGCAAACACTTTTGAAAATATCATTAAAAATGGCATATTCGCTACCTTTGCTCTTCTATGCTGAAACAGAGAAGGCAAATATGTTTGATTAAGCTGTAGACAGAATGTGGGAAGAGTAAGCATGGATTCTGCATGGATTTTGTTATGTACTGTCAAGTCATATCAAACTTATGACAGCCCTAATAGAGTTTTCAAGGTGTGTGAGATATTTAAGAAATGGTTTTACACACATTCACCCAAGACTTTCCATGGCTGAGCAGCAATTTCAACCAAGGTCTCCTAATCCATTGTGTATCCATTACACCATACTGGTATGGAGTTTGCTTTCTTTATCTTGAGTAAGGAATTATAAGCAACACTTTAAACTGAGTTTTAGAAATGACATCTTTACATAATGATCATGTTTGGCTTAAAGTCAATTTTGTCAAGCCATCCTTCATGTCAGATCATACTTTGAAGAAACATCTACAGAACAACACAGAAATGCTGTTTCATTACTATTGTCAGGCCATTTAAATTTTTTTAAAAGAATTGTTTAAAAGTATTCAAGACATAACAAAAATGTTAGTGATATTCTAGACAAGCTTCCCTGTAGATTGCTAACATTAATTGTCAAAAATTAAATTCTAAAGCTGTTTTACAAGCAACTTTTTTATGTCAGTCCAACATCTTATCACAAAATGCACTGTTAACAGGAATAGGCCACATGTTATAAAATATTTTGCTCATCTTTTCCTTCACCCCAAATCATAAACAGTTAATTATTTCTGAAAGCCACTAATGATATCTTAAAGATCTAGTTATAGCGGAAAAGTTTTATGATTTTGGAACGCTGCTTATACAGAACTTACACACTGCTCAGCTCATGGGAAATCTCATGGGAAACCATTAAGGAAAACATTGTCATCTCCACTTTGCAACCACAAAAACATCAAGTCAGCAAATTAGGGACCAAATCAGACATTCACTTTAATAGTGTGGTTGCTAATCGCTTCTGTGTCGAAATAAATAAATAAATATATACAGACAGAGTTGTCCTTGGTTTTCTTTGGGAATGCAATGCATGTGAGAAATGAAGTTTAACTCTTTCATCCCACACAATGATCCTGATTAAAAGCAGCCCTATTACCTGTGCAGCTAGAGGGCTTTATGTTGGGTGCAGGAGCCATTAGAGTTGTTGATGGGAGTATTCCCCAACCCTCATAGCTGCCTGTGTAGGGAGGATATTAACTGGAATTACAATTCAACCAGGTCTTCTTCCAATACATCTTCTAGGATGATTGTGATTGTTTTGATGCCTTCAGTACTAATCTTAGTGATTATCTTTATTTTCCATAACAACAGAGTGTTGTGGTAAATACTAATGGTGAAAAAGACAGGTTCTGTTTGGCATGAGCTTTTATGGGCTGCATCCCATCATCAGAGGAGGCAAGCTGTAACCCACCTAAACCTATGCCAAAGGAAGCTTGTTGGAACTAAATCCACTTGTTAGTTCCAACTAGAAGAGACTCATTGGATTTCAGTCAACACTTCTGCAAATCTCTTTGCAGTCCACTGATTGGATTAAGCCTTTTGTCCTTAAGGCACCACCAACTCCATTTGCTGTTCTTGATGCAACAGGTTTGCCTTCTCTCAACATTTGTTCTGTTCATTCACAGGATCTGGCCCAAACCATCTGCTGGCTTGTCATATTTTACAGATAAGAACTAAAAGGTCAAATTGGCTACTAAGATGACAGGCACATATTATTCCTACTTGCCTTATGGAGCTTGTAGTATTGTTCAGCACCAACTCCACCTTGTTCCTCTGCAGTCCAAAGCACTAAACGCAGAGTCCTTTTGGGACGGAGGCCTGGTTTATTGAAAACAAAAACAGGCATAAGTGCTACCACTGGAGGCATCTCCCTGTTTCTAGCTCTGAGGGCTACTTTCATATTTTTATTATAACAAGAAGGTCACATCAGTATATTAAGAACTATCAAGCATATTAACCATAAATGCTGGTAAACATTTTTCCTCTTAAAGGCATTTCCTATTAACTTCCTTTTTAATCCTAATGCCAGACTACCCTTTCCCCATCACCACAGGTCTTTCTGAGCTTTGTTTCAACCTTCCATCTGCCTCTGCTTCCCCCCCCCTTCGTAACACAATCAGTTTCTCTCTCTACTGTATAATTTTAGAACTTCAGAGTTGGAAGGGACCCTATAGATCATCAAGTTCAGTTCTTGTCAAGGAGGCACACAGGGGAATTGAACTCTGTAGCCAGATGCCTAAACCACTGACCTATCCAGTTAATTCTCCAGTACACATTCTTTTATCTTGCTTTATCCATAATAAGCGATGAGTTAAAAGAATAATCACAACCAATAGATGTCTGCAAGCACAACAGGAAGGGGGACACATACACACACTGCCAGCTTTCTGCACTGTTTGAAATCCAAGAGGTTTCCTTGCCTTCTTGAACAAATTTTGGGGGTGCATGGAGGAAGCTTTGGGAAAGGGGAAATCATCTTTTCCCCCATTCATCTTGTAATGTTGGCAGGTCACAAGTATGGGTTAGCATTGTAAAGGCCTGTCCACTTCCACTTGTGGGGCAATAGCTCACAGCCCATACGTCATGCCATGGGTCCAGTCCAATAGAGCAGTCATCCTATTTCCAAGGAGCTGGCAGAGCCATGGTTGACAAGCAATCCAGGTTGAAGGAAGTTCTCAGGAGTCTTGGCAGGTAGAAATAGCCAACAAGCAGCTTTGAAGTTCCTTCCTACAAAGGTAGCTGCCTGAGCACACACAACTTATAGCTCTCACCAGCCTCTCTGACTCATCTAGCTGTTCCAAATTAGTTATCAAGGAGCCTGGAAATGCTGCTTCTGTTCCAGCCTTTTGATCTTTTGTCAAATGGGCAAATGGGTCTAACATCTGCCAAGTCATTTTCATCCTCTCAGACCTCACTGGCAGAATTGGCACTGGACGGTTTTCAGCCCATTGGAACGCATTGAACCGGTTTCAATGCATTTCAATGGGCTTTTTCATTTCGCTTGACGAGGATTTCGCTTAACAGCGATTTCAACAGAATGAATTATCCTCGTCAAGCGAGGCACCACTGTAATCACATTTTCAGAGGCAAAGCTTTTTTGTTCAGTTAGGCATCTAAATAAGAACCAAAAATAACAGGTAAATAGGGATGCAAAATATGGAAGATATTGGCATGTATATATAATTGAGTAAAGTAAAAGGAAAGGCACACAGAATTAGTAGAAGTGTTCAAGCAAACAGAAAGGATGCAGGGAAAGCAAAACATCAACAATCTCCAGGGGATTTACTAGTGTGCTTCTTAGCTATCATTACAGCACAGGATTAGAGCCTCCTTCCCATTTCAAATTGGACAGATGGCCAATGATGTCATATTAAGATGATAAAACATTAATCACGTTGAAGCTCTCACATGGGGCCACTGGTCAGGGTCAGGGTCAGGTGACGGTGTGTGTTTTTCCTACTCACAAACATGTGCTTTTCAAATTACTGTCCACAAGGTTCACCTGCAAATAAGAGTTGCATGTGATGACTGGTGCCAAGGTGGCATAGCACACACAGGGCCAGCAGAGTTTGGGAAAAGAAGGTGGATTATTGACGTCATAAACTACCAAGCACTAAATGCCGGTGATGGATTAGATTATGTAAGCGAGAAAGAGAGCAATGGAGTGCAAATAAAGAAACAGGCAACACAGCTGGCAAGAGGTTTCCACCTCATCTGGCACCGGATGCCCAAGTGATGTTCTGCATAGCTCATAATGTCTCAGAAAGCCTGTTTTTGTTGATAGCAGCACGTTCAGGTATACACAGTGATCATTTCAAAACCCCTGCACACGTTTCCTCCATTTACATATTATCTGCCCTCAACCTTTTTCCTACAAGCTGTCACAGGAAGGATGTACAGAGCAGCAACAGCCATGATAACAAACGTGTGCCTCTCTCCGTACACCTCAAATACTCAGCTATTATCAGATCCAGTGGGAAAATTGAAATTCTCCCACAAGAGATGTTAACCCAGTGAAGTCTACTGTGGATTTCTGGCAGAAATGACATAAATTATCAGTTATAATATGTACAGCTTGCCTTTTCTCCAATAAAGCAAAACACATGGCTTTACTTTTTGTCCTACAACAACTCTGGGAGGAAGGTCCAGCTGAGGAACAGCCACCAGCTCAAAGGCCACCCAGTGAGTTTCATGACTCCATAGGGACTAGAACTGTAACCTCCCAAGTCCAATATTTTTCATTGCTATACCATATTAAGTCACTCTAGATTTGCTACAAATGTCTGGGTATGTGTGTTTTACAAAACATAATTCAAATCAGCGGGTCTTGAAAGAAGATACCCCAAAATGGAGGCACATGCATGTGAGAGAGAGAAAGAGAGAGAGAGAGAGTTAGTGGTGGGAGTTACAGTCCAAAATGTCTGTAGGATGCCAGGTTGGGACGAATTCTCATCATTCTGAGGTGCCATTTGTGGTTCAGAAAACCTGTGGCAAAAGCTGAGAAGTTCCCCAACCTGGCACCCTCCAAAGATTATAACTACCGTCATTGGCTTATAATGATGGAAATTGGAGTCTATCACCTTTGGAAAGTGGTGGAAATTTTCAAAGAGGCAGTCACATTTGTCTCTTTAGCAGCTTTTAACTACAAAGTATTGTAGTTCCTTCAAGACTAATACATTTATAGAAGTGCGAGCTTTCAAGGATTATTTTCAAGGATTAACCTTGGGTCCCCAGGTGTTCCTGGATCTAAACTCCCAGAAATTCTGGCCAGCAGAGCTAGTGATGAAGGCTTCTGGGAGTTAGAGTCCAAGAACATATGGGGACCCAAGGTAGGAAAGCACTGCTTTAGATAGATGGCTTGAAATCCTGTTGCATATTGTAAGCAAAGTCATATGTTTTGTTTATCCCTGGTAAATAAACAGCCTCCATTGCAATTTGGTGGTGTGACATGGCATGATGGCTTTCTGCATTTGCACCCACCTGCAAGAATCACAGTGCTAACTCTTTATTTGTGATGAATGGGTCAAAACTTACAACTTTGCTTACATTACGCAACAGGATTTTGGCTATGGAGTGCAATATCTGGGCGACAAGTTTATATGCAGCATCAGTGACCAAATTGAACCCTGAAGAAGTTGGTTGTAATCCAATCAAAGCACACTCCTAAAATATGTTTGTACACTTTAAGGCAGAGGCAATAATATCTGCTTTCTTTCTCCTGAGGATGAGAAAGGCTGTTCTTACAGCAGCTGTTTGGTATGTCTCTGTTTGCAAGGGCATCCACACCTGTGCTTTGATAGAGGTTGCGAAGACAGGATCTTAATGTTAACTGTGAGTCATTTGAGACTTTGGGGGTTAAGGTGGCGTTCTGTATTCACCTCTTTCTCAACTGGCATATGGTAATATGCCCTTTGAATCTTTCACGGGTGCCCTGAACTGCCCCTTTTTGAGAATTTGCTCAAGAGAAGGAAAACAAGCACACTGCATGAATCCATATCTCATGCAAAACTCAGAAAACAGATTAAAAGCAAACTCTTGTCTGAAAATGACTAGGTTTTAACTTGCAATCTACAATAAGTGTGTATTAGAGGGGCAGCTCTCCTCAAACTACATGTCACTCTTCTCTTAGTTGCTTGGGATTTAAAGAGAGCTATAAGTTACAGAGGACACATAAATAACTGTGGCACAGATATAGATTGAGAGGCTTAGCGAAATGAATTACTTCAGCTTTCGTAAAGATATTACAGTACTTTCTTCCATTACTGTCCTATAGCCCGACTTCTTTTAAACCCATTTGTGGAGGTGAAACATAATACCAGCAGGATGTATATGACATGTTTCATTATGCTTGCTTATTCGTTTTTGGCAGCATCTCCCAGCTTTT